GAGAAGTTGAATAGATATCACTGATGCCTCCAAAAGCTTAAAAACAAGATGAGGTAGGCTTGCTTGAATACTTAGAAGATATAATTGGGACCATAAAGTACAACCAAGATATTGCTGATTTGGAGAAATTACAAGAGGATGGATAAGAAAGAAAGCAAAGCAAAATGCTAGATTTGTACAGTACTAATGATGCTCTTGGGAAGATTGAAAAAGATAAAGATGATGCTATTAATTTCTTGAACATGGAGAGAGGATTATATCTTTTGAAAAACATACTATTTCAAATCGAGATTAGAGAAAAGACTAAAGAAATGTAAAAATCAGGAGAACAAATTGAAAAATTTAAAATAAAGGCTCAATAATTAAAAGATGAATTGAGATAGGTCAAGTAAAACAATTAAGATGCTGTAATGTAAATCCAACTTTTAAATGATGAAGAGGAAAAAAGAAAAGCTGTAAATGAGGACCTTGTGAAACAATTTAAGCAGTTAACAATTTATGATGAAAAGGTTAGATTTGATATGAAGCAGCTTGCATTAAAAATGGAAAGAACAAGAGAGAATATCAGATAAATAGAGTAAAATAAGATCAATAAAATCTAAGAATTTTCAGAGATAGAAGTTAAGATTCCTAGATTAAAGAATGAACTAAAAAATCTAAATGGGATATAAGAAACAATGGAATTAGAGCTGAATGTTTTGGAAGTTCAACTGAAGGAAAAGACAATGAGACTTAGGAAAGATAGAGAAAATATTCTAAAATCACTTCGACCATTGCAGTAATAAAGATAAGAAAAGCAGACTACTCTCAGAGATAAACAAACAGATATTTAGATAATTTAAAACAACCATTCTAATTTGGAGTCTGATTATCAAAGAGTGACTTAGGCAATATAAAGAGATAATGAAAATATAGTAATGTACACGAACAAATTGAATGAAGAAATATCTAAGAAATAGCAAATTGCACAGAAACTAGAAATTACTGAAAACCAACTTAAATTGCCTCAGTTTGATTCTTATAGTTTAGAAAGAGATGTTTAAAGGAAAAAATAAAAACTAGAAATGATAAGAGACTACATAAATAATCATAGAAATAAGAACAAATTGCTTTTCGAACTATTAGAAGCTTAGAATAAAGGATAAATTAATGGTATTCTTGGAAGACTCGGAGATTTAGGTTCAATTGATTAGAAGTATGACATTGCGATATCATCCGGTTGTGGTTTTCTTGATCACATTGTAGTTAAAACCTTAGATGACGCTAATTAATGTATAAATTATCTGAGATAAAACAGACTAGGAATTGCTAAATTTATGGTTTTGGAAAAAATTTAAGATAAAACATAACATTCTGAAGCAGTCAATTTCAAGTGTCCTCCAAAATCTGAGAGACTTTACGATTTAATAAAAATAGAAAACTAAGATGTGAGGAGAGCTTTCTATTTGGCTTTAAAAAATACCCTAGTATGCTAAAATATAGAGGATGCATAGACTATCGCTTATTAAAGAAATGAAAAACATAGAGTAGTTACTCTTCAAGGATATCTAATTGAGCTATCAGGAACTATGAGTGGAGGTGGCCGACCTAGGCAAGGAGGGATGTCTTCAGATGTTGCTTAAAGAGGATTGTATACCGAAGAGAATGCAGTTTAATTACAAAATGAAATCGAAATATAGGAAAAATAGATTTATGAAGCTCAACAATTAAGACCTCAGCTTAAAGATTAATACAACAACTTATAGAGAGAATTAAGATAATCAGAGCTTTAAATTCAATCCAACAATATAAATTTAGATTAGTTAAATCAGCACAAGCAAGATTAAGAGCGCAGACTTTAGCAAATAACTAGTCAAAGAGACATTGTAATGAAGGATATACTGAAAATTTAGGGAATCTAAAATTAAATTCAAAAAATAAATGAAGATCTTGCAAGAGAATAACCACAAATAGAATAATTATAGAATTAACTTAATTAAATTGATGATAAAATTCAAGAATCTATGTCAGCTCAACATAATAAGGTCAGAAATGAAAAAAATCAGATAGAATCATAAATTTTAATGCTTGAAAAAGAGATTTAGAGCCTAAAGCTAAAAATAGAAAGCTCGAATCAAATTTTGAAAAATATAGACAAGCAAAAATTAGATGAGGATAAGGTGTAGAAAGGGTATGAAAAGAAAATGCAAGAATTAAGAGGTGAGCTGGATGAATTAACGAGGCAGGGTGAGAAAATTCTTAAACTGTAAAAGGATAACAATGAAACTAAGGAAAGAGAGAATTAAAAAAAGAATGAAATGAAAGAACTATATCTTAAACTCAAGCCTTTATTAGATGATGTTATGCAAAAGTACAACGATGTAAAGCAACTCATTAATGAGGAAGGTCAAAAAGCATTAATGCTAAAACAGAAAAATGACAAGCTCATAGAAAAGCTCTTTCTCAATAGAGAGAAATGCTAGAAGTTTGTCTAACAATTCAAAGAAGTATTTAGAGAAGTGGACTTAGTTAGACAGTAAAGGCTGAACCTAAAGGTAGAATCTCCTATACATGATCAAAATTAGCGGGATAAAAATGAAGTTAGTGCATTTATGGACGTTGAAGAAATTCAATAAGCTAATACCAGAAGAATAATTGACTATGCTTCAATGAGTAAAGAGCAAAGATTGGAGCATTTTACTGACTAATATGACATAGTATACTAATTTAACTCAGAAATTCTAGAAATTTTATGTGGGGATTTAGGATTTATAAGGGAGGCTATAAACCAGCTAGAGGAATAAGTTAAAGGATTGAATATAAACTTTGAAGTTATCAATACATACAAAATGCTATCCTTATAAAAGTAGCAGAAGGAAGAAGAATTAAAAAATATGACAATGAGTTATCAAGAGATTAGGGATCGATTGCATCAAGTAAGAAAACAAAGGGAGAATGATTTTCTTTAGGGCTTCAACATAATAGCGAAAGAACTAAAGTAGATTTACAGATTTATTACAAATGGAGGTGATGCAGAGCTAGATCTAGTTGACAGCCTTGATCCATTTAGTGAGGGAATATAATTCAATGTAAGACCTCTAAAGAAGTCTTGGAAAGAGATGAAGAAACTATCAGGAGGTGAAAAAACAATAAGCTCTTTAGCTTTAATTTTCGCATTGCACATTTACAAACCTTCGCCTTTGTATTTCATGGATGAAATTGATGCTGCTCTTGATTACAAAAATGTGGCTATTGTGGGATAGTATATTAAATAAAGAGCTATTGACAGTCAATTTTTGATTATTAGTCTAAGGAATAACATGTTTGAGCTGGCAGAAAAACTTTATGGAATATATAAAATTAATGATACAACCAAATTCATTAGTATGATTCCAGAAGATGTAAACACCATTATTGAGGAAAAGAGAAAGTAACTTTAGCAACAGAAATAGCAATAAAGCTTAAATTCAAATTAAGAGATAGAAGTGGATGAAATATCGAGCTTACTTTGATGAATTATTATAATATTCTGCTTTTGATTATTTTATGATTCTTCCTCCATCCATTCAAAAGCATTCTATAGGGGTTTTGGGGTTTTGGGG